GAGAGGAAAAAGGACGCGAAAAAGTGTCTGGGCCGACGCGCGCGCCGCTCCATTGTAAGGACGGGCTGCTGTGTGGACCCGTCGTCGCGTCTAGAGTCTAGAGCGTCCCTGCAGCGGCGCGGGCCCTGGCCCTGGGCTGGGCCTGGGCTGGGCCTTGGCTACAGACTGATTCCGAGGGTCTTCTTCATCGCTCGGTCTCCCTTGCACCCATAAGAACGCCCCACGAGTGCGAGAGAGACAGAGCTACTCGAAAAACGACTCTCGGAATCAGTCCGCTGGGCCTGGAATGCTGAAATGCATGCGCACACAGCCACTCCAGGGGGATGAGTTTGTGGCACCAAACAATGCCGCGGCGCTGCGAGCGCGCGCACACACACAGGCTCACACTGTCACGCACACACAGGCACATCTCAGTGTAGGCGCAAGGTGGGCTTCGAGTAGAAGGTCGTTGCTGACCATCGAGGACCACGCCAGCTCCAGCGTGTCCTTAGACCAGCAGACCGATTCCAAGAGTCTTTTCCGTCACTCTGTCTCTCTCGCGCTCGTTAGGCGTCCCGTATAGGTTAGGGAGACAGACCAACGAAAACGACTCTCGGAATCAGTCTGCAGCAAGGTGCAACCTCGTCGCTCTCCCTCGCACCGTGCTCGGGGAGGGCCTCGTTGTCCTCGGCGAGGTCCTCGGCCGGTGCAGGCCGCAGGGACGCGGCAGGACACCGAGCCGGCTGTCATGCAGGGGAGGAGGGTCCGCGAGAGAAAGGAGAAAATTCATCCCCACGCCACGGCGTGCGCGGCGTGCGCGGGGCCGCGGGAATGGATGAGAGAGTGAGAGGGATGCGGGAGAGGGCGACACGGCTTTTGTCCCCGTCCCACCCGCAGTGGTTTCGGCCATTATGTGGGTCTGGCTCGTCTGGCAACGGCCCGCACCTTCTCTGGACAACGCCAGCCCTTCTAAAGCCCCCTAGAGCTGGAGAGGCGTCGCCCGCCCCGCCCCGCCCCGCCCCGCCCCGCCCCGCCCCGCCCCGCCCCACCCGGGACGCACCCCCGTCTCGGCCCGGCCGCATTCCACAGTCAAAGGCGAGCTTTTCGCCCCGCCCCGCCACGCCACGCCACTCCGTCCTCCGTGTCGCCTTTCATGATGATCGCTGCGAACGCGAACGGCGCGCATCGGCCGACGCCGGCAGGTAGGCATCCCATCGGACACGAACACGGAAGGTAGGGTGTCCGCTCGGCGGGGGGAGGTCAACCGTTCCTTCCAGACTTGTGCCTCGCTTGGCAGCATGAATGCTACAGACAGAAGGCCACCCCTGGTCCAGCCTATCCTTTTCGCGTTCGTCGTTCTCCTCGCGTGTGAGGGCGAGGAGGCCGAGGAGGGGTCCAGGCTGGCGCTGGCCGAGCGACGAGCGTTGCGGGCAGCCGGCGAAGGCCGGCTAATCTCATTTACGACGTTAATTACGCTCGTCACAGCTGCAGACTGATTCCGAGAGTCATTTTTGTCGCTCTGTCTCCCTCGCACCAATAGGGGGCGCCTCATAAGTGCGAGAGAGACAGAGCGACCAAAACGACTCGGAATCAGTCCGTGCTAGGCTGCCTCCGAAGGCCGCCGGCGCGCACGCAGCCAGTGCAGCCGCGTCGTGGTGACGGGAAGAGCACTGGGCGAGGACGGCGGCGAAGGCCGAAGAGGCACCTAAGGACGACTCGTCGAATTAGGCCCTTGGTGCCCTTCGCGTCCTTTGGGTCCTTTGGGTCCTTCGGGTCCTTCGGGCGCGGGCCAGGCGGTACACAGGGCCCTCGACGTGGCGAAAATCAGCGCTTCTCTACAGCTCTACAGCTCTACTCTCCGCGGCCCCGCAGAGGCGGGAGAGGCGACCGGGGCGCGCTTGAGCCGGAAGAGGACAGGAAACACGGCCGCGGCCAAATTAGCCTCCCCGGCCGTCGAGGCCGCCGCCGCCGAGGCCTTTGTGCGCAAATAAAAACAAAAACGATTATCATTTGGCCACGTTAATGCAGAGTGCGCCGCGGAGCCCGGCGGAGCCACGCGAGAATCACTTTAATCCGCCGCGCCGCCGTAAGTGTAAATTCGCTGGCGCGGTGCAGTGTGGTGGCGGCGGCGGGGGCGGAGGCAGCAGTGGCGGTACAAAGCGGGGCGGAGCGGCGGCGCAGCGAAATCCTTTTCAAACCGAGTGTACGCCCCGCCCCGCCCCGCCCCGCCCCGCCCGTACAATGCGCCCCGCCCGGAGCCGCGTAACTGCACGCGGCGCGCACGGACGTTGCAGTGGCGCGGCGCACGTGAACGCGGCGCGGGGCTGCAGCCGCTGCACCGCGGGCCTAACCGTGCCCTGCCCTGCCGCGCCCTGCCACGCTCAGGCTGCGGCGGCTAATGAAAATTCTGCGAATTGGGTCGAGTTATAAAATTACTCGCGGTTCGCGTCCCGCTTTGCGTTCACGCATCGCGGCGGATTGGAAAGGACGCGAAAGTATGAAAGAGTCGGGTCCACTCCACATGTATGAGAATCGGGCCGGGGGAAGGGGGGGGGCGCAAATAAAAGGAAAAAGAGGGCGGAGAGGGAGGCCCGGGAAAGTGGAGGAACAGAAAGGGGATTGATGAATTAGAGAGGCCGTTTGAAGGAAGAGAACCTTACACCGCGGGATGGCCGGGACGGGCCGGGATGAGTTGAATGTGGAGGAGGGGCGGCGCGCCGCGGCGGAGACAGAGATGCGAGCCCGAGTTTGAGAACCAGCTCGGGAGAGGGCGGCCGGGGGAGGGAAGTTTGGGTTCAAGTGCCCTTACTTTCCTACCCTCTGGACAGATTCGAACTCGAGTCCCACCCCCGTGGCCGCCCCGCCCCGCCCCGCCCCGCCCCGCCCCGCGCTCCCCTCGACCGCAAGCCTCCCCGCTGGAGCAGACCCCCCACGGACACAAGAATTTCCTAGACAAGGGTCGGCGTGGTGGTCGGACCTTCCAATTGGTCGCCCTCCGCTGCGGCCGGGGAGGGGAGGGGGACTTCTCGGACAAGAAGGGTGGGCCGGCCGGGAGGGGGTGGGCCGGTCGACCGGTTAGTCGCTTAGGTGCACTGTGTGGCACCGTGCCGTTTCGAGGCTTCTCGGACGCCATTTGCTGACGCCCCCTCCGCCGTGAGGCCGAGCCAGCCGGGCCGACGGCGGCGGCGGCGGCGGCGGCATGGCAAGGCCCTGGGGACTAGACCAGCGCCCTCAGCCTGAACTTTCTAGAGGAGTGCCTCTCAAATTGACACCTCCAAAGAAAGGGGTGGGCGTAGTCTGGCGAGGGGGGGGGGGTATCGATGCCGACGCCCCAATAGGCTGGCCGCAAGCGCTGCATGCAGTGCAAGTTGTCTGGGATCCCGCCTGACCGGACCCTTTGAAAAGCCGCATCGAAAATCAATAACCGACTCAAATTTTATCTCCTGACTTGATGACGTGTGCATCACAGCAAGCAGTGCAGAGTAGTCAGCTGTATTTGCCGCTTGTAGTGTATCGGCTCGGGTCGACACCGTCGACACTGATGGCGCCGCGAGCTGGCGACAGAGCGGCAGCAGCAAGCAGCGGCAGCTTGCCCTGTGATAAGGCAGCGCTCCCAGCCGTCGATTACCGGAAGACGAGGTGGCCGAGTGGTTAAGGCGTTGGACTGCTAATCCAATGGGCTCTGCCCGCGTGAGTTCGAATCTCATCCTCGTCGTTCTTTTTTCGGTGGACCCAGAAAGCATTAATCGGTTAAAGTACCACAAACCCCTGACTTAAACATAAATACTATAATTTTTTGTGACTTCTTATTAAAAAATGTCATAAGTCCAGTGGCAAAAAAGGGTTTTCATGGTTTTTTTCACGTTTTGGGGAAAAAATTTGAATCGGTCCAAATTCGTGTATGTTGTCTTGGAAGACACCCAAATGACCCCTGACACAAGTACGACGGTTGAATCCTGACCGTTCATCGCGGTGGCCGATTTCTCTGCGCTGTTCTGACCAACTTTTATACTACCCATGCGCCCTGAGTCTGTACCCCATATATCGTCAAGAAAACAAAAATTCCGTACCGAATGGCCCATTATAAATTCACTTTTACACAGGCTCGACCTGGAAGGCCGCCCGGCAGTAATACTGTGGGGAAAAAAATGAATCCGATCCTGCCAGGATTCGAACCTGGAATCTTCTGATCCGTAGTCAGACGCGTTATCCGTTGCGCCACAGGACCGTTGGTGAGCCGGGGGCATCGAGGCGGTGGTCTATTCTTGGAATGATGGCGGGCAACCAACCCTAGGTGAGGTAGCCGGCCGGCCTGCGACGACGTTTGCTTCGGTGGTCGCGGAACAGATAAACTATAGCAGGGGTCACGGCCGCGGTTCCCACGACGCGAAAAAAGTATGTTGTTGCCATGTGTGTCGCGCAGCGCGAACGCGCCGTGCTGTGCTGGCATGCGAGGTGTTGGTTGGGTTGCCAGCCGGCACGGCGCCCAGGCCAGGTCCGCCAGGTGGACAGACGTGTCTGTTGGGTTGCCTACCCTGCAGGCCGTCAGGCTGGAGCGTCGCGCGGCGCGAACGCGCGAACCTAATCTAACCTACCCTCCGGCTATGCTAGGAAACCTAACCTAACCTACCCTTCCCTCACGTGACCAGCATGCTTACGCAAATGCGTTCTTTCCGTTACGCCCACGCCGAATGGTGGTCAACAATGTCCAATGGCCAGCGTGGCATTGTTCAGAAGCCGCGCTACCTCCTCTCGCGTCCTCCCAGTTTTCGCGGTCAGATTCAAAATTGCCCAGTATCAAAAGGACGGCCCACAGGGCCCACAGGGTCCGCGACCCTCCGCCGAGGCCCCGGTGTGAACTCCCTCCCGCAGCAGGTGATGCAACACGTCAAGGCTGTGGACAATCGGCGTCGCATGACTGAGATGACGGAGATGATGACCACTGGCGTGTCGTGGCGCGTCGCGTTCCAGGAGGGCCTCCCCCAGGACCGCGACCCGGAGGCCGGAGGGCCTTGTCCGGGATGGCGTGGGGCCGCGAGGTCCGCGCCAGAGACCTCCTGGAGGTGCTGCACTCGCAGCAGCCGCGCCTGGCCCCCATCCAGCTGCCGGGCTTCGAGCACAGCCCGCAGACGTGGGACCGCGCCAAGCTGGGGCTGGACTGCGACGAGGTGTACCCGGACATTTTCATCGGCGACGCGTGAGTCTCCCGCCAAACCCCGCCGTCAACGTGCTGGCCGAACCGAGAGTACACTGCGTTGTTCAATCTCCGCGCCGCCAGGGCCACGGTGAGGGACAAGCAGTACTTGAAGGAGATCCGCATCACGCACGTGGTGAACTGCGCCGAGGGCCGCCGCGGGGGGCAGCTCAACGTGAACGCGTGGTACTACCAGGACGCCGACATCAAGTACCTGGGGCTGCCCGTCGAGGACCTGCCGTCGTCCAACATCGAGGACTACTTCCACTGCGCCGCCCAGTTCATAGACTGCGCCTTGTACAACGGCGGTAATTCTTTTTGGGAGGAAATTGCGACACTGCGCCCGTCGTGTGTGTGTGTGCGCGTGTGTTTGTGTGCGGGCTCGGGCCGCGACCACCGCGACGACGACGTATGCCGACATGCCGGCCAGTCTTTGAGGCGTATCGCCGGACTCGGACTGGCTCGACGATGTCGTCTCATTTTTATTCGCTGACGTGGCCGCCGCTGTTTCAGGTCGCGTGTTCGTCAACTGCATGATGGGGGTGTCGCGGTCGGCCACCATCGTCATGGCCTTCTTGATGCTGCGGAGGGGCATGTCGGCGGAGGAGGCGGTGCGCGCGGTGCGTCGTCGGCGCGGCGTCTGGCCGAACGCCGGCTTCCTGCACAAGCTGGCCAACCTCCACAACTACATGCGTCGGCAGCGCTGTCCGCAGGGCAGCCACTTCTTCGTGCCCTTGCCCTACGCGTCCATCGGGGCGCCCATGGCCCAGCCGTGATTTGAAATTTAAAACAAACCGTACTGTGTTCCACGAGCAAGCCACAGCAAACGAATAGCCGGAATAAAAATGAAGGTTCCACCGAGATTTGAACTCGGATCGCAGGATTCAGAGTCCTGAGTGCTAACCATTACACCATGGAACCCGCTGTGAGCCGCGGCCACCCGCACCACTTATGAAGCGGGCCCACGGCGACCGTGCTGACGCTGGCGAGACGAGTCGAGCGGACCCGAGCGGAGCCAAGGCGGGGCGAAGGGAGCCGAGCCGAGCAGCCGAGCCCTGCTGGGCCTGCCCGCCGACAAGGCAGTCACGTGACCTTGAGTGCGGCTGCCCCCTCCCCCTCCCCTCCTCTCTGCCGTAGCCACGTCGTCGTCCGCTGCACTCAGCCGCGGCCGGCCGGCCGGCCCTCGGCCCTATGCTACATCGTTTTCATGCGTAGAAATTTAGAATAGATCACGATAGGAAAAAATCAAGCGAGGGAAAATCAAATTTGGTTTCTGGGGCTTGTAAGAAACCCTAGGCCGTACCTAATTTGAAACGCGATTACGATAAATCTGAGATGTAAAGGTTACTTTGAACCCTCGGAAACTCGAAGTGACAGACACCACGGGAAAAAAGAAAGTCGGTCAGGGGACACCCGGGTTTGAACCGGGGACCTCTCGATCTGCAGTCGAATGCTCTACCACTGAGCTATATCCCCGCCTTGAAGGGGACGGCGGAGGCAGCTGGGTTTGTTGTCGGTCGAGAGCGTTGGCCTCTTGTCTGGGCTCTCTTCGACGCGCCCACGTCGTGCGTCGTACAGTCGCCGGGCAGCCCCGCTGCCACGCGCCGCCACGCCACGCCCCGTCAGCACTACGCCCAACCACGCCGCGCCACGCCTTTGGCCTCTTCGCTGGAGTCGGCAACACGTGCAGCACGCAACACATCGGGATCGGGAATGCGAATCAACAACACAATCTGCTTGAGCTTCTTTTTATTGATCACAGAGAGCGTTACAGTTAGGCGGGAATGGGGGAGTCGAGAGTCGCGGGCGGGATTGCAAGTCGATGGTGGGACTTCGTTCTTCAGTAGAAGGGGTAGCCGTAGCCGCCGTAGCCCCAGCCGTAGTCGAAGGGGTAGCCTGCAACAGGAGGCGCCGAGCAACATTAGACCGGGAACCTGCATCTCGAACTGAACGGTCTGTAGCACGCTCGCCGGCGCTTGCGCTTACCGTGGTGGCCGTAGCTGTAGACGCGGCCGTAGGGGTAGCCCCAGCCGTAGCTGTAGCCATAGGGGTAGCCGCCGTAGCCGTAGCCGCCCCAGCCGCCGTATCCGCCCCAGCCGCCGTAGCCGTAGCCGTGCGACGCGGCGGTCTTGAGGTCACCGCCGGCCTGCTGCGCGTCGGCCTCCGCGGCCTGGACTCGAGCAGGGGCGGGGGCGTCGCCGGGGACCAGGCCGGGGGCAGCGCCGGGGGCGGGCCGGGGGTTGGGGCCGGGCGCAGGTCCGGGACGGGGCAGGCCGTGGACGGAGTCCAGCAGGACGCAGGCCACCGCGGCGACAACCTGGGAAGCAAGTCAAAGTCGTTTGCCGCTTTAGCATAGCTTGTTAATCCGGCGGCAGCACGCAAGGTACCTCCCTCACAGAAAACAATACCAAGAAGAAAAAAAACTACAAATTAAAGTAAATTGCGGGGGCTGGGGCTGTCAAAGGCGTGGAGGGCACGGCACGGCACGCGACCCACTGTCATCTCATTGGAGCAGGTGTCAGCGGAATGACGCCGTGAGAGCGGCGGGCCGCGCACGTCACGGCGTCACGCAGCGTCACGCGACCGTCACGCTCCGCCACACGCGCGTGCGTGCCGTGCGTGCCGTGCGTGCTGTGCGTGCCCTGCGTGCCCTGCACTGCGAGCGCGCTGGGTCAATGTCGCGTTTCCATCGTTTGCATGCGGAGGCGTGTAAAGCGGCGCGATCACGCTGGCTTTGGGGAATCAATCTGACTACACTGTACATCCATGTTTTTGTTTGGCAAGCACGAGCCCACGTGGTCACTAGCCGTTATCCAGGTGGAACTAGCGACGAGGCACAAATATACACTGGGAAGCTAACACTGACGATCAAAAGCAACACTAAGAATAGCCGGCTAACGGCCGATCAAGACTTATAATTGTGGGAGACGGCCAAGACGCTCGGCCAAACGGCCCACTCCGGAGCCCCGGGAGCTGCAGGACACCTACCAGCACTCGGAGCGAAGCGTAAGCCATGGCTGGGGGTGTGCGAGGATGGTCGGCTGGGCTCCGCAGACGAACTTGGAGTGATGATGCCTCGTCCTGGACGCCGTTTTATACTTCGTCCAGCGGCCCGGCGGCCCCTACCCACACTGCCCGCCGGCCGCGGGCTGCCGCGGGCTGGCTGCCGCGGGCCCGGACGCCACCCGAGGAGGACAAGGCTGAGTGGGTGGACACCGCACGCTAGGAGGTGTTCTGGGCCAGCGCGTCCCGACGCGCACCCTGGGGGTCACAGGCTTTGACGACACTATGGACATTGCTACTTTTGAAATCGAATTCAACTCTGGTTCCGCAGGTTCAGAGATCGACCACGATGGCCACAATCGTGTTCTCATTCAGGAGCGATTATTTCCAGGCAGCTGCGTTGGTCGATGTACTTAGTGGCGTTGAGTCCCATCTTTAGGATCTGGCGATCGAATCCCTTCATTGCAAATCGTTCTGAGACTGGCTACTCGCTTCCTTGGCGAAACCTCCTTGTTATGTTGCATTCCCCGAGCCAGCCTATTCATTACGCCTATCCATTCGCCTATTCAAACAGAGGGCTCTGCCTCCGAAGGTTTACCTTGGCGCCCAAAAAAATGAAGGGGAATGGAATAATGCGCACGCGCGGCTGCACACACACACACACTCACACACACACGTGACGGACGCGCATAATAGTGCGATGCAGAGTATCGTCCAAACATTCACGTCCTCCGCGGATTCCCGGATTCTCAGACGTCCGGCCGTCCGTCGTCTGGCGTCCCTGCGCGTCATCCTGTCCAGGAGCACGCCATCCTGGCCATCCTCCGGGGCCCTTGAAAAGAGCCGGGCCCACACTGCGCATGTCCCACAGTGGGCCAGAAGACCGGTGGAGGCGGCCAAACGTCTAGACGCGTTTTGAGCTTCAGAGTCACTAAATGGGAATCGAACCAAATGTGTGACCCCACCAATGGATTCCTCGTTCGAAGGGCAATCCATTGGTGGGGTCGTCACACGTTCGGTTCGAGTCCCATTAGCGACTCAGGAGCTCAAAACGCGTCCGGGATTTCGACTGCCACCACCGGTCCTCTGGCCCACTATGCATCCCCGCGAAAATGGAAAGAATGTCAGCAGCCTCTTCATCTTCCACGGCACTGCGCGGCCACTGCGCGGCACTCAGCAGGCTCTTCGGGGCCTTCCCTGATGCTTTGCATATTCATACGCGGTGCTGCCGCTGCCGGGCTGCTGGACTCCGCGCGAGCGGCGGAACGGAACGGAACGGAACGGACTGTTTACACGCAAGAAGTGTCATCGTTCCAGTCCCAACTTGGTGCAAGGACCCTCCGCGCCGCGGTGCCACCTCGTTCGTCCGGCCAGCCAGGTTTGGAGGAGGGGGAGGCATGGAGCCCCGTTGGGTGCGGCTGCAATAATGTCTCCATTTTCTGGGAATCTGATCGATCATTATTCTACCCGCCCCAACGCTCCCGCCGAACACGACAGTGCCGACGGCTTCTCGGGACTTCTCTTTTGGCCAAGTGCTTTTGTCAACGAGACGACGAGCAGCAGACGCTCCGCCCCGCCCCGCCCCGCTCCCACACGACTTTCTCATACTCACAACGGGCCACGGCGCGCCACGGCGGGGCGGTCATCCTTTCAGGGTTACTGCCTTTCATGCAACGGCGAGGCGTGCGCATCGTCGTCATGCGCACAGCCACTCAGGCATGCCGACGTCGAAGAGAACGCATGCGGACACGGCGGACGCGGCGGCACGGCGGCCACGCCACTCCCCAGGACGCCACCAAGACGGCCGCCCCGTCGGCACGCCGCCGTGCCGCTCCGCTGCGCCGCCGCGCGCGGGCGTCCGTTGGGTGGCCTACCCGCCGGGCGGACTACCTGGCCAGGTGCGCCTCTGCCGCTGCCGCCGGCGTCAACGCTTTTGTGACGGTGCTCGCGAACGAATTTTCGTATCTTCTCAGATGATTGTCTAAGATGGCGATCGGCAATTTCAGAAGTTGTCACCCTCTAACTAAACCTTGAACCTTGCGTGCCGGCCTCGGCTCGGGTCCACTGCTGGCCGCAGAGCAGTCGACTGAGCCGCCGAGTCGGCGGTGTCGGAGTTCCTCCTCCCTCCGCCAGGGCGCGCTGGCTCCTCCGCGCGGCGGCGGCCGGCGAGCACGGCGACAGGACCACAGGCCCGCATGCGGCGCCAACCACCAGTGTTTGACGTGTTTGATTTGAAGCAGTTGTTGCTTCTTATTAGAAACTAGAGTGTCGGTCTTCCGTCTTCTCACCGCGTCCACTTGTGTACCCGGAAGCGCGTCCTCTGTCGGACTGTCGCCTCGCCTCCGCGAAACCTTGGAAGCAAAGGCGCGCTGTCCCTCGACTCCCCCCTCCCTCCCCCGCCTCACACTTTCCTCTCGGTTAATGTTTGCGTAGGAGACGGTGGCTAATCTAATTCAAGCAACCACCTGTCGAACTGACAAGCGCGAAGCGGCCAACTTTTCAGATTTCCGAGGCAGTGTTTTCCTTCCCTCTCTCTCTTTCTCTTCTCCCCGTGGCAGTGCCGGCAATGCGCTGCAGCCCCCCTCCCTCCTCCCCTTTCCCCTTCTCGTCTAGCGCCTGCAACGCCGCAGCGCATGCGACATGTGTGTCGCGTGGGTTGCCTGCCCTGCCCCTCGCGCGCGCGCACGTGTTTTTACTATTGGTGCCTTAGGCTTTACTTTGAGTTCGGGGTTTAGTGGTGGATGTCAAAGACGAAAATAAGTCGGTCAAGTTTACTACAACTTTGTAATTTCTTTCCATGGTACAATACATATACAAATAAATAATAATTATAATATTAGTAATAAAGAGTCACAGTGAAAAATAAAACAAAAGAAATTCTTTTACACTTCATCTTCTCCTCTATGATACAAGTGACTTTTGCTATACAATTTGTTGCAATATTCGATCATTTTAAAAATTGATTTTGTCTTCCCTCCTGGTGAGGAGAAGAAGCCACCCCCAACATCACTGCTTCACAAACAAGAATAGTGGTTCACACTTTTCTACAAACATATATATTTAATTATTTGTATGTTCATTCAAACAAGACATGGGCAGGATAATGAAAAATATATTACAAACTATAGAGTATGGGATTTTTTTTCATTACACAATAAGAGTTTGTGTTTATTTCTGCACAACCAACCTATCGAAGATTTTCTAATTTAATCTAAGAAGGTACATCCATGCCATATTTTAAGATAGCAAATGACCACATGACAACACAGCCAAAAGCAAAACGCTTTGAGCCATTCAGGAACAAAGGACATTACACTTTTGTCCAAAGGTTGAGATATGCAAATTTTAATTTATAAATGTAGAAATTACCAGAAACGTCCCTTTCAACTAAAATATGATTTCAATAATATAATTTAAATATAGACAAATATTTTAGTGTCATCAAGACGTGCCTGGGAACTTCCACATAACTACTTAAGATGACTTCTAAGCAAGGTTTGTAAAAATTCCAAACATTTATCTGCTTAAAAGATATCTACCTATAAAGTGATAGGCTACTCAATTGTCAAGAGAAATTAAATATGTATGCTTTTCTAAACATAAAACAAAGCTTAGTGAACATTTGAAAGGAATTCAAGACAGAGCCAAGCTTCTCTGATAACCCTGATTTTAAAAAAAGATGTTGACTGTCCCCTTGGGAGTGCAGAGCAAGGGCAGCATGTACAATTGGCTCTAAGTTATGTTCCTATCTAACAGGTAAAGTAATGACGAGACTATTTTATTTGTTACCCTGTAAAAGTAAGTGTCACTAGTAAGACACTTGTCTCCTCATAGTAGTTTTTGATCCAGATTTTATTGTTGTCAAAATGTGATCTAGTCCTGTTTGTTTCTATGCCTTTTTTATCACTACTCAATTGATTATGCAAATAAATTTCTTTTGATGCTTGAAACCAGTAATGATATTTTGAGGCAACCTCTAGGTCATTAATATGTTTATTCAGAAGTGGACTGAAATATTGTGATGTAGAATTTTTGATCTTGTTGTCAAAATGATGAAAAACTTACTTCTGGCAAATTAGTTAACCAAAATTGATTTCAAGCATGTGAAGATTTTTTTTTAACAGGGAAATGAAATTGGCGAAATAACATTGGCTACGACAGATTGAAGACAAGATATTAAACTTTATTTTCGAAATATATTCTATGACCAAAGCCACAACTGTTTGCGAGCAGTGAGTGAATGGCCATATTTAAAGTACACGACTGCCGCTCCTATTTTCATAAATCGATTTTTATGTACACATACATACATTCATATACACTCTTTACACATAAACAAATAAAACAAAACAAAAACAACTTGATCCCTAAACAATCATTTCTAAAATCTTTTCCTGAAGCTTACGCCCCGTCACCGGTACTGAGTATCCATGCGCGCCTCAGAGCAGAACGGTACAGGTCAATCACAACCACTACATCTACAACAGCAGTCTTCGAATGGAATTGTACGGTGACACAATGTGCCCTTTTACATGGGAATAAATGCACACTAGCGGAATGTTCGATATGATATTGTTCAACTATGGGATTTGTACTGTTGTTAAAACCAAACAGAATTCATTTACAAGCTCTGCATTGAGCAAAATTTTCACCAGTGACTTGACATAGGTAAAGGAATCAAACATGCCAAGCTTTCTTAAATTAAATAATAGTAAATAGGAACAATGTGTAGCATAACTTCATGCATACACTTTGAAACTGAACTAGCCTTCAAATCGGATATGCCAAACTTAATTTCATTCATTACAAAGAATATAACTAACAAAAACATGAACAAGTGTGGAGAGTAAAATGTTTTAACATATTTACATGAAAAAGGGTTAGTCAAAAACAAATAAAAACATTGACAAAAACTAAGTTAATTTTTGGCAAAAACGTGTTAGTAAAATCACACAATTTACGTTTTTGGAGCTGAAAGTGACACTCCTGGACCAGTTCAGTCTTAATAAACAAAACAGGATTACCTGAGCAGAAATGAACAATAAACAATCAATAGCGAACAAACCAAAGAGTAGCATAGCAAATCAACGCTTGGATTGGAATACCTGAATGACAATGGTGAGATACAATGAAAAGTTTAAAAAAAAGATTTAAAAAATTTAACAACTTTTGGGTCTCCTAAACCACACGGTATCAATGATAATAGTGATGTATCTTTTTCAATTAGTCTATCACCCTAGATACAAGATTGATATCTGAATCTTTGCTTTGGTATAAGTTACAGGAGTAACAACATCGTTCGCTTAACACAGAGGCTACACCAAATCCACACCTCATAACTTTAAACTTTAACTTAAACTTGCTTTAACTATAACTACACAATTATAATTTTGGTCTCTCTCACGCGTCAACGAATCGCTAGGTTCGAGAGCTCAACAACTTGGCACTTTTCTGCTTGTTGTACCAAGCAAAGCACGAGGAACACGAGGCAAACCACCTAAAAGTAAGAGGTAAACGTGGACACAGAGCCACTTAGGAACTTGGGCTTGGCGCCGAAACGCGTACAAAGTACAGTACGACGTCAAATTGGCCGCAAGGCACAAGTCGACGAAGTAAAAGCAACCCTCTGCCCTCACACGCGCGGAAACGCTCGTTCATTTCAGAACGTTCGGTTCGGCCCAGCGAGGCTGCAGCGAGGGGTGGGCGTTGGTGCGATGTCGATCATACGGTGTCCGTTTCGAATCGACGCCGAACCAACCCGACTCACCGCCTCACTGGGAAAGTGTCTGGGGAGCTTCAGGTTTAGTACATATTCTTTGGTTCGCGCAACATTTTACAGGCGAATCCTCACGGTCGCTCTAGATCACACAGCACAAATAAAAACAACAACAACGGACAATCACGTAACCCCCCGGTAACTTGTTCAGACTTATGACAGGGCTCAGGAGAGTCCCCAGGAAACACAGTAGTCAAATTGACGTTAAAACGGCAGCATCGTTTCGCCGCCACAAGGCCCAACCATTGTGAGCGCGCTCAGAAATGTTGAGCGTCGTGACGCCAAAACGACGCCGTCCGAGGTTCAAAAATTTCACTCGGACGAGAATCGCGTCATGTCATTTTCACGTCAATTTGACTACCCTGTTCCCACTGAGGCTCCTTGGCTGCTGACAAGCTTGAGTCCTCGTCGCCACTCATGGAAAGGAAGTGGTGTCCGCCCTTGGCGTTCTGGTTCACAACACACTTGCGCATGTGCTTCTCCAGCGTGGAGGGAACGGAGAAAGGCATTTCACAAAACCGGCACCGGTACACGTCCTTGCCGAGGCGGCCATGCGTCTTCATGTGCCTCGTCAGTTTCGAACTCTGCGCACACGCGTACGGACACAGCTCGCACTTGTAGGGCTTCTCGCCGGTGTGCGAGCGCCGGTGGACGGTCAAGTTGCTGCAGTTCTTGAACACCTTGCCGCAGAACTCGCACGTGTCGTTGCGCCGGCCCTCCTTCTTGAGCTGCTGCGCGCTGACGGGGAGGCCCAGGTTGAGCGCGGCCGCCGCCGCCGCGGCCAGCGACGACGCGCTGGGCCCCGCCTTGGGCCCGTTGCTGCACTTGAGGAGGTCGCTGGACTTGCGCGAGCCGAGCAGGTCCATGGAGCCGTCCGTGGGGAACAGGTGGTGCGAGGTGGGCAGCCACAGCCCCGCGTACAGGTCGGTGCGGTCGCCGGGCCTGCCCAAGGGGTTGCCGTGCTCCAGGTCCAGCTTGAGCCGCTTGCTGGCCGTGTCGAACGGGTTGTCGAACGGCGTGCCAGGGCCGAAGATGCCGTGCGGGCCGCCCACCAGGTCCAGAGGAGGCTGGCCGGCGGCCAGCATGTTCTTGGCGAACTCCTCTCTGAACCTCAGGGCGGCGGCCGACTTCTCCAGGAGACCGTTCTCCAGGCTGGAGGTCCGGGACAGCTTGCTGATGTTGTTGTTGTCGCCCAGGCTGAGGGGCGATCGGTGCAGCAGGTCGTCCTTGAGGCCGAGGTGGTTGGGGCCGATGACGGACTCCTGCAGCGCCTGCTTGTACGCCTCGCTGTACTGCGCGATGTGGTTCAGGCCGAACTTGTCCATGAGCTCGCCGACCAGGGAGCCGGTGGGCACCTTGTCCAGGGGCGTGGACGACGGCGTCGGCCTGGGAGAGCCGGCGTTCTTGTCACTTCCCAGGTTCGTGTTGTTGTTGTTGGGCGGGGTCGAAGAGTTGGACTTGGTGGTGAGGTCCTCGGGTGCGTCGCCACCGAGGTCGTCATCATCGTCGGCGTCCTCGTCTTCCAGCTCCATGTCTTCCTCCTCGTCCTCCTCTTCTTCCTCGTCCTCCTCCTCTTCCTCCTCGTCCTCATCCTCGTCGTCGTCCTCGAGCGTCTCCACCGACCCCGCGTTGGAGATCTGGTCGGCGGAGTGCTCGCTGCCGTTGATGGCGTCGCGGCCCAGGCGGTGGATCTTCATGTGGCGCTTGAGCTTGGAGTGCTGCGCGCACGCGTGGTCGCACACGGAGCACTTGTAGGGCTTCTCGCCCGTGTGCACGCGGCGGTGCGCGATCAGGCTGCTCTGGAAGCGGAACTTCTTGCCGCAGAACTCGCAGCCGTGGATCCGCTCGCCGTCGTGGCCGTCGTCGTCCACCACGCCCGTCAGGGACTTGGCCGACAGGGAGAAGTCGGTGGGCTTGTCGCCGTCCGGGGGCGTGGACGCGGACCGCGGCGTGCTGGTGACGGCCAGGGCCGCGGCCATGGCGGGGTTGCTGGGGGTCTCAGCCATCTGGGACTGCTTTTCGGGGGATGTCAGCGACTGCGGCCGGGGAGGCCGAGTCTCGCTATCGCTATCTCCACTGGTGTTGTTGTTCAGCAAACTCGTGTTGTTGTTATTGCTACTGTTGTTGTTGTTGACCGCGCTGTGGTTGTTATTGTTGTTGGCTGCGGTAGAGGAACTGGAGGAGGTGCTGTTGGAGTTGTTGCTGTCCTTGGAGTTGTTGAGCGAGAGCGGAGTCGCGGCGGCGGGCGCGGCCCCGGGCGTTGAGCTGCTCGAGAAAGGGGGTGTGAGCAGCCCCTGCCGGGGGGAGGGTGACGGCGAGCTCCCGTTGGCGGTGGAGGCCGATGCGGCCCCGGGACTCGTTGCGCCCGCTAGCTGCCGCAGCCGCTGTGAGTAAAAATCCAGCTGCGGTTCCAGATTCAGGGGTGCTGGTGGCGCGCCGGTGGAAGGCCTGCTCGGCGTCGAAGTGGGCGCCACTGACGTCGACGTCGGACCAAAAGGGGAGACCGGAGGAGGCGGTGCGATGGTGGAGGCGTTGGCGGCCAGCCCCAGGCCTTGCTGCAGGCCCTGCTGCAGGCCCTGCTGCAGGCCCTGCTGGCTGAGTCGGATTTGCTCCGACACGAGCTGCTCCATGCGGAAGTGGTCGTGACTAGAAGGCCGGGGGAACAGGGGCCCCAGCCCCAGAGGGGACGACATGGAGGTGGGTGGGAACGGGTGCCTGAGCAGCCCGCCCACGGGGAACGGGTGGTGCAGGGGGTCCAGCAGCGGCGAGCTGGGCGGCGGGTGCGGGTGCAGCCGCGAGCTCGGCGGCGGCAGGGACAGCGGCGTGCCCGGGCCGGGCAGGCTGCCGCTGGAGCAGGCCGACGACGACGAGCAGTTGGACGACGAGGATCGGTTGTTGTTGTCCTTCTTGGCGGCGTCCGCGCGCTCGGCGCCCGACGACTCGACGTAGATCTTGATGCCGTGGCTGTTCTGCACGTGCTGCACCAGGCGCCAGGCCGAGTGCAGGCGCTGCTTGCAGGTGCTGCACACGTAGTTGTTGGGCTCTGCAACACACAAAGAGAAAGCACGGCGTTAGTCAAGTCACCCACACACGTCGCACATCAAGTCGATCAGGGCGAGGACCAGGATGGCCTCGGGGAAGCCCCATTACGCCCCATTAGAGTCCCCGGAACGCGGCCAGCTGCCCTTGCGGCCTTCGGGTGTCCGCACCAGCATTTCACCAGCGAGAATTCACATGCAACAAAAATATGATCCCCCACCCCCCTTCCCGTTTGAACTGGCGTACAAAGATTGTCACAAAGCAGTCTGATAACAGAAACGGAGGGCAGTAGTGAACACGGCGGAGAGAAAAGTGGAGAAGATCGGCGGGAAGGACAAAAGGGCGCAGGGCCACACGGAGGGCCGAGTCGAGGGCCGAGGGCCAAACAAGAACAAAGACAGTCTCATAACAATAAGTGTACGCTTCGATGGACAGGGACCAATCACACCCACAGAAGCACGGCGGATGGAGAGGAAAAAAAAGAAGTCGCCCAGCTGAAAGAGGTCGCGGAGCAGACTGATTCCGAGAGTCGTTCTCGTCACTGTCTCTCTCGCGCACCAATACGGCACGCCCCATGAGTGCGAGAGAGACAGTGCGACGAAAACGACTCTCGGCATCAGTCCACAGAGAGGCCCAGAGGATGGCATAAGTAATAGTCATGGCCGCGGGGCGGACCAGTACAGTGCAAGTACGGATGACGAGTAATAACGATTACAGTGAGCAGCCGCGTCGTCGTCGTCGGCCTCCCCCGCGGCCATTTTTCTGACCGCCGCCGCCGCCGCTCCTTGCAAGTCCTTTTGCAATACGTTTCCAGGACGCGGAGGTCGCGGCCGGAAAGCGGCGTCGTCGATTCCAGCATTCATTAGTGACGGGAGCAGCGGGCCGCGGGGAAGGAGGGGGGGGGGCGCCGTCCGCCACGACAAAGAGGCCCCGCCAGCCGACGGGACAGTTTGCTGCTTCGCGTGCTTCGCGGCCCAAAACTCGACAAGGCTGACAATGCTATGGAGATAAACCGGGCGGCTGTAGTAGCGGCTGTAGCGGCAGCAGCGTCCTGCCGAGTCAACCCCCAAGTTTTAGCAAAGCGCAATCCCGAAGAAAGCGCGCTGGCTGTGCCGCGGCCGTGCCGCCGTGCCGAGGAGGCCGAGGAGGCCGTCTTTGCGTCTGGCTGCGGTTCGCCCTGCGCAGCCTTGCGGTGCCGGACGGCCGATAAGGCCCACATCGCCTGACCAGGATCGCAACTTGAGGGAGGCTGCGTCTCGAGGCCGCGCTGCGCCGCGCCAGGCTGGGCCAGGCTGGGCGCCACAAAGACGAAAGACGGCGGCGGGTCACTCCTTGTTTTTGTCTGCCCTCGTCCTCCGCGGCCCGCCACCCCTCCCCCTCCCCCTCGCCCGGCAGGCGCGCGGCGGTCGGGGAGAAGTTAAACCGAGCGACTACAACTCATTCATTAGAATGAAAAACACTCGGGCGTGTACAGGGCGTCTTTCAGAGACGGCCAGCGGCAGCGCGGCGGCAGCGCGGCGGCTCGGTGCTGGGGGTGTCCCTAAAGACCCTCTCAAGGTGAGGGCGCCTGCAGAGAGATAACTCAAATGAAAGGGAAAAGCGGTGCGGGGAGGCGGGCGGGGCGGCCAAGACGGCCAGACAAGGCAGCGAGGGGCGAGATTCGGGGCTGGCCGCGCACAGGCGCAGCGCTGCGGAGGAACCGACGGGAACCGGAGGAACGGCATAATTGCGAATCTCTTTCTTGCCGCAACAGCGCCGGCCAGCGAGCGCGGCCAGCCCTCGGCTAAGGCTTGACGAGACGGCCAGATTTCCGAGACGTTATCAACACCCCGGCCTCCGCCTCGGCCGCCTCGGCGCGCTAACCCTTGTCGGCCTCGCGGAGGGTGGGGCCGGGGCCGCCGGGGCACCGCGTCGGCGGCTGGTCTGGCGCACTGCTGGCGCACTGGACGCGAGCCAGCCTGCCACGCCGCAATTACCAGACTGCAGCAGACTGACTCCGAAGCGTCGTTTCGTCGCGCTGCTCTCTGTCGCACTCGCGGGGCGCCCCGACTCCTCGGAAGCGCTCCGGCAGCGTGACGGGACGCGATGCGCCCGGCCCGCCGTGTGGCCCTCGCCCACCGGGACTGCACGCGCCATTGATTTATAGGGAAAGCCGCGAGCATTTGCAGCCGAAAGCCCCCGTCCGAGTGCCCCCCCCCCAACCCCGCCATTTCTCCGCGAGGACGCCGTCAGCCCACGTCAGTCGGTGACCTGGACACACACTGGACCCACCGGGGGCGTGCCGCGGCGCTGGGCGTCGCCCCGTCGCCACGGCAGCCTCACGGACCGCGGCGGGGCGGGGCGCGACGCGGCGCCGGTGGCGGCCGTCGGCCAGGCGCGGTTCTTCGACTGCCAAATCACCGTGACGCGACAGAAGAAAACAATCGCCGGCGACCAATCTTGGTGACCCAAGTGCCTCCCACCTCGCTCCGATTGTGTGAGGGCTGAGTACACAGTGTGTGTGCGGAGCGGACGGCCCGGGCGAGCGCGCGAAAAACGTGTCCTGGTGGCCGCGGCGCCCCGCCCGGGACGCGGAACGCGGCCAGAGCCTCCTGCAGACTTCCGAGAGTCGTTTTCGCCGCTGTCTCTCTCGCACCTACACGGGACGCCCCACGAGTGCGAGAGAGACAGAGCGACGAAAACGCCTCTCGGCATGGGTCTGCTGGCCCACGCCCGGCGAGGCAGCGCGGCGCCCCGCGACAAAAACGAGCGGAAAATTGGGCGGCAAGAAACGGAGCCGCGCTTTAATTCCGACCGCCACAGCGACACGACCCGCTGCACTCCGATCCCCGCGCCGCCCCGCGCCGCCCCGCGCCCCGCGCCCCATAGCGCCGCCATTCAGCACCGCGGCCACCGGCATGGAAACAGTGGCCGGCGCCCCTACAAGCAGGGCGTCGGGCTGATCCGCTGCCCGCTGTGCCGCCCAGGCGTCAAGCCCTCACACCCTTTGACGGGGCGCCCCGCGGCCAGCCTGCCCTTCACGCCGAGGAGGACCAAAGGACCTGTGAGCCGCGCGCCGGCCCCGGGGGACTTCCCTGTGAGCGGCGGCAGCACCGCGAAGCACCGCGACGACGCCGACGACAGGGCGACCGCCAATTTTCGTCTACGTCGTCCACGTCGCCGTCGTCCAAGTGGGGCGCGCGGTCCCCCGCCCGACTCCCCGCCGGCCCGCATATCTGCGGTATCACATCTCGCCAGCACAACAGTACCCCCATGTTTCAACGCAAAGCTGAAACGAGCGCCCAAAAAAACAAAAAGAGAAAAAAACAGCGAAAAAAAAACCGACAAACTGTCCACATCAGAGCCAGGCCCCGGCCACGTACGAAAAAAAATTGTGTCCAGAACAAAGAAATGCGATAATTGAAGAGCGAGAGCCCAGTTGGCGGAAACGTGATTTAATAGTGAAGGCCGCGTGTTTCTGTCGGGCTATCGGTCTGCATCTCCACCCTGCCCCACCCTTCCGTGGAGGACCGGGAGGACCTGACCACTCAACATTTATGAAAATGCTGCCAGATTCCTATCGGGTCACGTCCCGCGCCGTGCCGTCCGCGGCAGTGCCTGCACTGTGCAGAGCGAGGCAGTGCCTGCACTGTGCAAGCCGGGGCACCACACTCCCCGACCCTCCGGCTTTAAAATCCCCGAAACGAACAGGGCGAAAAGTGCTGGCCGGCGAGGGGATTCGAACCCGCGTTGGTCACGCCGCTGACCGGATGACGCGCGGCCTGGTGCCGCTGCCCCGTGTTGGCGCCGCACCTCCCCCTTTAATTTCCTCCAAACTTTGCAGCAGCCCGCCAATGTGGTGCCGGGAAAGAATAAAAGAAAAATCCGTGACCGAAAATCCGTGATGCGGTTATGTTGTTGAGGAGGATAATAGCGATAGCCACGGCATGGGGCAAGGGGGTGCGAGTGGGCGCGAAGGCGCGGCGCCGGGGTGGCTCTGGGGGTGCGAGAGAGCGCGGCGACGCCGGGGAGGCTATGGCGCGCTTTGGCGTGGGGCGGGGGATCGCCGCATGTGTCCGGGCCGTACGGGCCTCCGTGTGCCGCATAAGAATGGCGGTGGACATTCAAAATAGCCGCCTCCGGCCGCCTCTCCCTCTCTCTCTCCCTCTGCCGGTTCCTCTTCCTGGCCGCCGCCCGCCTCCGCCCGCCTCATCCGTGGCCATATTCACATTTTTATTGTTTCCGACCAGCGCGGTTGGCAGCAGCTGGACCGCATGCGGTGTCCATGTGTGTCTTGCCGCTGCAGACTGATTCCGAGCACTCGTCGCCCCGTCCCTCTCGCACTCATGAGGCGCCCCATGTGGGTGCGAGAGAGACAGCGACACTCGCCGCACCAAATGCAATTTTCGTTTTTCTCCTCGGCCTGCTTCTTGCCTCGGGGCACGCGGAGCGGACACCACGACGCCCGCGTCCCCGCGTCCCCGCGTCGCAAGAAGGCCGGCCAATTTGCAGGCGCGTTGCGTTTTCTGGGCGACGCTGTGTGTGCGACGCCGCGACGCTGCGACTCGCAAAACGAAGCCCGGCCGGGGGAAGAGAGGCACAGGCAGGGCGCAGGGCGAAGGACCGAGGACACGGGCCGAAGGGTCGGAATCTGCATGAAAGAGGAGACAAAAGAGAGAGGGGCAGGCAGGCAGGCTGGCTGGGCCCTGAAAAGGATGGAGAGAAGCCAGCTTAGGTCAGCACGGGTCAACTTTAGGGTCAAGATGGAGAGTCCCTCAATGCGGTGGTGTCACTCGAGGAAGGGGGAGGCGCGCCTCGCGAGGCGGGAGGCAGGGACTCGGAGAGCGGAGCAGAGCGGAGGGGCCTAAGTGATGAGGGAGATACTGGCAGTCGCGTTGAAAAGGCGGGCAGGGGATGACGCCAGGACGCCACGCCATCGGAAAACTGTCACAATACGCAAACTGGGCTGCCGGGGACGGCGCCGCGATACAGGCTGCCGCCCCGCCGCGCCGCAAGTGCTCCCGA